AAAATTCTGATGCCTAAAATAAAAAAAAAAAAAGGTCAAAAACTCACTGTGTGTTTAGAGTTAACCCTCCATTACAAATCTCTTAAGTACAGCATAGAGTGTTGATAAAGCATGATAATGTGAGAAATGTATCTGTAATCTCTATCTACAATTCAGTGTCTATGGGGTGACACCACAATGAGATCTCGCACCACCTCAAAATCTTCCTAGGGCAACCTCTGGTTCGGCCCATGGAAAAAGTTTTCTTTCCAATCTGGCCAGCGGGCAAAAACTGTTGGTCACCCCTGACCCTTCAGGTACAGTTTGTTACTTTCCATTCTTGGTCATCTCTCTTTAATTTTAAAATATCCAGGATCAAGGGAAATCTTGCTGGTTTTTGCACCTTGGAGTCCAAATTCTACTAGTTTGTCAGTTATAAAATGTTTTTGATTTAGATGGAATATTCCATCGCCATCTTGATCAAATTTGATTCCGAGATAATGATCAATATTTCCAAGGTTTATCATGTGGAAATATTTGTTAGTTTCCACTTCAAGCCAATCTAATGCTTCTTTGGAGGTTTATGCTGCGATTACATTATCAACATGTACAATGATGTACATTGTTTTATAGCATCTTTTTCCAGTGTACAGACAAGGTCATTTATGCTCTGCACAAAGCCGCATTCAGTCAGTACCTCATGTAACTTTCTGTTCCACTCAGTAGCTCTCTACTTCAATCTATAAAGGTTCTTCACAAAGTTGCAAACTTTGCTTGGTTCCTCTGTGTCGTAGCCTTTAGGTTGCTGCATACACACTGTGTGGTGTAGATCGTCATTCAAGAAAGCTGTCTCAATGTCATAGTGATTCACGTGCATTTTATGTTTAGCTCCTAAAGTTAGCAAGATCCTAAGAGTTGTTGGCTTTGCCACTGGAGTTTTCAATCAAAAATATGAGGAGGATTATGACCAGGTGTTTACCTGGTCATAATCCTCCTCATATTTTTGATTGAAGACTTATGCCACCAGATAAGCTTTGTATCTTGTTGGTTTACCATCTGGATCACGTTTAATTTTATATATCCACTTGCTTCCAACAACATTTGCTTCTGGTGGTGGTTTGGCCAACATCCATGTTCCATTTTTCTTGAGTGCACAAATCTCCGCATCCATTGCCTTTATCCAATCATTTGCATCTTTTCTGTTGATGATTCATCACAGGTTTTCAGTTCAGAAACAATTTTACTTTGCATTGCCTCAATCAATCTATCTGGGGAAACCTTTGTTGTTTCTCCTAGAGCGATGGAGTGGCAAATTGTTCTCAAATTGCTTGTTACAGATGGCTATTTCATTTAGGTTAACTTCCACTTCACTTTTGCTGTCATCTTCACTGTGGTAATGTGGGAGGAATGAATAGTTGGTTGAGCCCATACTGTTGTATGGATCTCCTTCTATAAAGACAATGTCATAACTTATCTTGATTTCTTGGTTACGATACCCAGCAATCGATATGCCTTGCTACCACTTTCATATCCCACAAATCTTGTTTCAGTTGCCTTTACATCCAGTTTCTTTCTTACTCCAAAAGGAACTCTTGTGTAAGCAATACATCCAAAATGACAGAAGTACTCAATATTTGGCTTCTTACCTTGCCATTTCTCATACGGTGTCATTGGGTCCTTTATCAATGATAATTTGTTCTGGATATGATTTGCTGTCATTAATGACTCACCCCAGTAGCATTTTCCTAATTCTACATCATGCAGCATTGTTCTTACCATCTCACAAAGAGAGCGATTTTTCTGTTCTGCCTTGCCATTCTGTTGAAGGCAATCTGGTGCTGTGGTTTGAACTTTAATGCCATGTTCCTTGAAAAATTTACACAGGTCTTTATTCGTGTACTCAGTCCCTCTATCAGATCAATACTTTTTCACCTTTCATTCCATTTGTGTTTCAACATATTAGGATGTTCAGAAAGTAATTTCGTTTTTTTTTACACTACACGGATTAATCGTACTTTTCCCGCCATTTTCATTCTAAACCATATTATCATTATATATTTTGACAGCTAGCATTTTAAGGCTTATTTGTAAAAAATTTTGTTTGATTTTGTGCAATTGTTTATTTTTTGTGTCCCATCAAATATGGAAGATCGAAAACAGCATTTTCGGCATATTTTGCTTTTTTATTACTGAAAAGGTAAGAACACTGTTCAAGTGAGAAAAAAATTGCTTGACGTGTATGGAGAAGATGTATTGACAGAATGGCAGTGCCAAAACTGGTTTACAAAATTTCATTCTGGCAATTTTCAATATTGAACATGCACCACGTTCTGGATGGCCAGTTGAAGCCAATGAAAACAAAATAAGGGTACTGATTAAAGCAAATTGCCGAATAACAACATGTGAAATCACTAAGAGAAAATTAAATTTGTCAAATTGAACTGTTTGTGATTACTTGAAACAAATTGGTTTCGTTTCAAAGCTTGATATATGGGTTCCACATATTCTTAAAGAGAGATGCTCTCTTTGCTGGGATTTTAAGGACATTTTTTTTCTTTTGGAGCTTTTNGTACAGTAATACCCCGAACTTACGCGATAGGTGAAACTGAGCGATAACTGCGTAAGTCGAATTCGCGTAAGTCGGGGTATAATTTTGCAATTTATGTAAAATCCAAGTCGGATGTATGTAAGCTAATAAATGTTCTCGTTAATCTTATCTCGTCTTTTTATTCGTTTATGCTTACAAGAAATCACCACATAGAGTCTCTCAAGTCTCCGTAGATATAACAAACACAGAAATAAATAACACAAAATAAATTGTAGCTATGTGTTGATTCCACGTGACACATCCAAACATGTAAGCTGAACAATAGTATGGGGGGGAGAGTGAGTAATCAAGAGTTGCGTGGCGCTCAAACAAAAGATGAATCAACAAGATTTGAAAATCATGTACTCCGGGTTCGCGTAAGTTGGGGTAGCGTAAGTCGAGGTATTACTGTACTGTCTGTATTCCATATTGAGTGCAAGATTAAACAAACATTTTCTACATTAAGAATAATCATGTATGATAGAATTAATTTAAATTAAATCGTTCAAACTGTTTTTTTGGCATTTTTATAAGAACAACATGGCTTAAAAATATTATTGGTTTTGTTCATTGGCTGTCATTAACCATCTAAGTAAATTCAAATTTATCATTATGTTTATAATGATAATTATAAATGAATTTCTGATTGTAATAAGCAAACTTTTGTATTATTATTTAATTTATATGTTTTGGAATGTGTTAATTCCAATAACTATATCTGTGATTACAATAAGCAGCACCTACCTTCATTAAAATTATATGATGGCTGAAATTGATAATTGTAAATGAAATAATTATCAGATTCATCCAACATATCACTAACAGAATTCAGTATTTGTTTTGCTTGGTTCTATGTTACAACTTGGTGAATTTATAGACACTTGGCAAATAATTTATCATTTGCTTTTTAATTAATCCGTAACCTTTACTTAGAGAAAGCAAAACAAGAAAAAGAAAACACAGTTTCGACAAAACAAATAAAATAATTCAGTATATTTGCAATAAAATTAAGTAAAAATATTTTTGTTCTTTATACAGGAAAGTAGAATCCAAATTCAAATTATTCAGCAAAACAATATAAAAAAATATGTAAAAATATTTTATAAATGCATATGATCTATATCAATTTAAAATGTTTATTAAGTTTCTAAAATAAATGCTAAATACTCTTATTTTTATTTGTAAAATTCAGAGTTCTATCAATTATTTTACATTAATTTTTGATATTACTGATGAAATTCCATTGAATTAGAGAGTAATAAGAGAGAATTTTACTTAAATTCTCTCTTATTACTCTCTAATACAGCTTAAGAAATTCTAAACAATTATTGCTTTAGAATTTTAAAAACTTTTATTTTAAAATTTATTTAAATAGAAAGAGTCAATTGTAATTATTATAATAATTTGAAATTTCAATAACTATAAAATTTTAAAATGATTTCACAGCTAAATAGAATATCAATTTTTTTTTTAAGATAGTATTTCATTAGCTTGCTTCAACTGATAAACAATTTAGAACACAACATTAAAATAATAAAGTAAATTTTACTAATTTTAATAGAAAAATATACTAAATGTCTATTTATAATTTACTTTCCAGAGAGAGATATAATAAATTAGTAAAATACATATTACAAAACATATGAAGTAAAAATTACATCAACAAAAAATATCAATATTTTTCATTAAACTAATTAGTATTTAAAATATCTTTTGATCATAATTTTTCCATATATAGTCAAATTTATTTTTAAATTATACCTTACTTTATTTCATAAAATAACATTTAATGAAATTATAAAAACTAAAAAATTATTATATATATAATATAATATAATATATTTTTTTTTAAATAAAAAAATTATTAATCTTTTCAAAATATTTATTACTCTAACTAGGCCCATGCATAAGATTTTTAAATGGATGGAAATTTTAAAAAATTTCTTAACGTACGTTATTTATTAATTTTTACATATAGGAATATAGAGTAACACAATACAGTACTTTAAAGAGGAACTGAATGGGTATAAGATAAGTAAGTCATGTATACATTATACAGTTTAATTTTAATTTTATTATATTTTAATTTTTCCCAAATGGAAGGGTTTAACCCCCTCGTGCATGGCCTTTACCTACATTCAAAAATTATTCAATAACCTTATAAAATCTATTTATTTAAAACTTACAAGAAAGTAATTTTTTTGAAAAGGGAGAGAATCAAATCTTTATTATAAATTTTAATTATCAATAAAACAAAATATAAAACTATATATTAAAAAATATTTTATTCTATTTTTATGGAAAGAGCAAACTAATAACTCATATAACCTGTTCATATCAAATAGATGTAATTTAATTTGTTAAAAATATGAAAATGTTTCTCTTACACACGAAATGTTACTTCATATAGTAAATATAAAAATTTACAAAACAAACAAAAAACTATATACTTCTAATAATAACCATCACTTGAATTTATTGATTTAACAATATATTCATTCAATCATAAGTATGACATTAAATTCAGATTTGTAATAATTTCAATGTAACATGCAAGAATTTTTTAGGGAACATTGTATGTTGCTCATAAACCTAAATTCTATGTTAACACATTCCCAATTTGTAAATGCACTTGAAATTAATATTTAATTAGTGTTCTACTTATATATTTATATTTATTACTTTTTAAAATATAATTTTTTCAATATAGTAAAAATAAACAGAAGGAAAATGCTAAATGTTAATGGAAGTGGTTAATGTAATAAACTTTACTTTTATATAACTCTTATTGAAAAAAGATTTAAATAATCTAAGGATTATATAATAATTAAAAAGAACTTTTAAAATTTAAGTTCTTTTCCTACCTTGTATTGATGAGGTATTGGGCAAGATTGATGGCTTCTGGGGTCCCAGAGATTGTTACTGTTCTTTCTTTAGATCCCTCTTCAGAATTGGATATTTTAATAGTGGCACCAGATAGTTGCCTATGAAGTAATTTTAATAAAACTTTAGTAAGATGGTGATTTAAAAATTTAGTAATTTGTTTATTCAACTCTTAGCTTTTAAATTACACACAAACACCTCACTTTAAGGTACTTTGCTTCAGTAACCTTCACTAATATGGTATTTTCCAATTACATACATAATTTATTCATGTTCGTTAAGAGCAACATAAGGATTTTCAGCACTTACTTTGCTCTTAGTAGAGTCTTTTGAGGTTATTTTATTTATTCTTGTTATTTTTGCATCTTTTTTAGACCTAGTATTATTGCACACTTAATGAATAATAGTTTAAATATATTCTTAGACTTTTATATGCATTGGCAAGAAAAAAAAGACTGTAATTCACTTCAAAGTAATATTTGTTTTACTGCAGTAGTATAGATCCTAACCCACCACATTAGTAAGGTATGCCTACTTATAATATTTAAAATTTATTTTTATAAAATAATAAACCAGATACATTTATAAACATTTAAAAGTTTTACAAAAATAAAATTAAAAATGTATTCTGATATATAACAATCAAAACATAATTACAATCTCTATTATAATTAGGTTTCCAGAAATCAAATTAGGTAAAATTATTTTTAATTAACATTTGATAATCATTTTATAATTACTTAACCCTTAATACTAGATGTATAAACAAAAAGACTACTCACACAGACAACCAGATTCCAGCAAATAAACAGATACATGAATGTTTTCATCTACCTTCCAGTAGACATTGTATTATGATTCTATGAGAAAATTTCTCATTTAGAATTGCATGTGCTGCATAGTAGGCGTGACATTTGGCTATTGATGGATGTATATGAAGTTGCAGAATTTGAGTTGGATGAAACATCATCAGCTAGATGTTGATGAATGTAAAACTTCCAAGCTATGGGAATGACTCCGTGTCCTTGTGGTTGATGGCACATGTCCTTACAGTGGCCTTGTAGATCTCATACTTTTCCATGTGTCGTAAAAGCATTTTATCATATGTAGAGTGGCAGATCCTAGATAGATGAAAGAAGACCTTCACTCCTGAGTCTGAAGCATAAGATGCAAGGGCAGTCAAATAACAGCCTTTCTTGATGTTCTGTCAGTGTTCCTTGAGGTGTGTTTGTATGTGCCTGCACATAGCCCCAATGTATGCGAGGGGGTATCACAATCTATGATCATGTAGAGGTACAAAGTACACCCCCAGGAGGTGGTGCCAGGTTTGGGGTCTTTGATATTGAGAAGGGGAGAAAAGATGGTAGGGTGCCACTTAAATGCCAAATGAAAACTAGAAGACAGCAATTTCCCTGTATGTGAGGGCCAAGGCACTGTTATACATTGGAAATTGCCAAGTCTTTTCTAGTTTTCGTTCATCAATGTCTAGCTGATGATGTTTCATCCAACTCAAATTCTGCAACTTCATATTTATCCATCAATAGCCAAGTGCCACATCTACTACAAGGCACATGCGATTCTAAATGAGAAATTTTCTCATAGAATCACAATACAATGTATACTGGAAAATAGATGAAAACATTCATGTATCTTTTTTGTTGTTTACGCACTATGAAGTGCAATTAATCGACCTCTAGGCATCCTTTTATCCTTTATTGTTGATCAATTAAATAAACAAATAAGTTTATTTACTTGATCAACAAATAAAGGATGAAAGGATGCTTAGTAGTTGATTAATTGCACTTCATAGTGTTTAAACAACAAAAATGTATAGTGAAACGGTTTCTGATTGGCAAATTCATGTATCTGTTTATTTGCTGGATTCTGGTTGTCTGCATGAGTAGTCTTTTTGTTTAAAATATAAGTGAATATATAGTTCCTGTTGTATAAAACAATATTACAAATTTTACCAGTGAAAATAAATATATGTATATAATAAAATTATAGTATATATTTCATATTTTAGCTTATATAAACATTTATGCTTATATATGTAATATACTTCTATGCATTTGGAAAGTGAGAAAGTGAAATGAAGTGAGAAAGCTTTTGTCTTAGTCATTTTATGTTAATATACAATATTAATTCACAAAAGTGTACAAAAATAGTCTCCATTTATGCTCACAAACATTTGGTTTAAAATATTTCAATGAAAATTTCTATATTCTATTTCATCTAAGAGTAAATAAGATGTAAACAATAAAATTTCAAGATTAGAAAGATAATTAACGTTGATAAATGTGAATCATGTATTTCAAATGCTAAATGAATAGAAATAATGCATATATTTTTATGTCATAAATTATTTTTAATTTTATTCAAAAGTTACTTTTATTAAAATAATTTTCATAATCACCCTCTTAATACCCAAAGGGCAGAAATAAATAAAAAAGAATTCATAATTTGGTTCTAATCCAGAATTTCTGATAAACATGTAACAGGTTCTATGTTGCGAATTAATGATGTAGTTTGTCTACTTTAGAATACTTTCAGAAGAAAATAAATTTAGTGATAATACAATATAAGCAATAATTAAGATGAATGATGATAAACACTATATATAGTAGTGTTTATCATCATTCATCTTAATTATTGCTTATATTGTATTATCACTAAATTTATAATAATTAATACAAGTTATATATAATTTTTTTAGATAAAAATTCACTTTCGAGTCATGTGCATACATGGTAGCTTAATGATGTTACAAGCTGTTGACACACATGCACATATTGTTAAATATATCACTTATGCATTTACAGATAGAGACTAGGATACCTTACAAGTATAAATCATACACGACTACTTTTATCCATTTCAAAGTTGCACTGAACCAAAAAGTGGCGGGCTTGATAGAGACACCAACCGATGGCCATTTATTTGTTAGAAAAATAAAAATACAAACAAAGGACATATAACACAAATCATTGCCACACATATAGGTAATGACAAGAGAGAAATTTAACACTCCCCCCTCAATGATTTGTCCCATTTTGCTTATAGTCATTAAGTCCAAGTTGTCTAGCACATTTAACGTGTTTTCCAGTACACACTGGTTTTGTTAAAATGTCTGCTACCATTTCGTTGGTAGGGCAGTACATAATACATATTCTCATTTTTCACTTCATTTATTACAAAATGATATTTGACATCAATATGCTTCATATGTTCACTCACATGATCATTCTCCATCACTTTCATACAACTCTGGTTATCCTTGTACTGTACATAGTTACTTTCTTATTGATGGTTTCCCCAAGGCCCAGAAACACTCATTTCAGCCAAGCAGCCTCCTGGGTGGCTTCACAAAGCACAACGTACTCAGCTTCAGTTGAGGACAGTGTCACATTGCTTTGCTTTTTACTGTACCAGGATACAGGACTATCTTGATATTTAAAGACATATCCTGTATGCAACTTTCGATCTGTGTTATCACTATCACCCAGTCTGAGTTGACAAAACATTCCAGCGTGAGTTGCTCTTCTCACCCAATTTCAGCTTCCAGCTTCCAATCAGCTGTTCCCTTCAGATATCGAAACACCTCTTCACCTTATTTCAGTTGGTTGCTCTTGTTGACCTTTGGTACATTGTACATTGGGCAAGGAAGAAAACTGCTGCCAATATATTTGGGTGTGTGTTAGTTGCAAGGTACAGTAAACTACCTATACCAGGCATGGCCAACATAAGGCCCGCAGGCCAGATCCGGCCTGTCTAATGAATTCATGTGGCCCGCGATCCATCTTTCAAAATAGCTCGATGAAAAATTCTGATGCCTAAAATAAAAAAAAAAAAAGGTCAAAAACTCACTGTGTGTTTAGAGTTAACCCTCCATTACAAATCTCTTAAGTACAGCATAGAGTGTTGATAAAGCATGATAATGTGAGAAATGTATCTGTAATCTCTATCTACAATTCAGTGTCTATGGGGTGACACCACAATGAGATCTCGCACCACCTCAAAATCTTCCTAGGGCAACCTCTGGTTCGGCCCATGGAAAAAGTTTTCTTTCCAATCTGGCCAGCGGGCAAAAACTGTTGGTCACCCCTGACCCTTCAGGTACAGTTTGTTACTTTCCATTCTTGGTCATCTCTCTTTAATTTTAAAATATCCAGGATCAAGGGAAATCTTGCTGGTTTTTGCACCTTGGAGTCCAAATTCTACTAGTTTGTCAGTTATAAAATGTTTTTGATTTAGATGGAATATTCCATCGCCATCTTGATCAAATTTGATTCCGAGATAATGATCAATATTTCCAAGGTTTATCATGTGGAAATATTTGTTAGTTTCCACTTCAAGCCAATCTAATGCTTCTTTGGAGGTTTATGCTGCGATTACATTATCAACATGTACAATGATGTACATTGTTTTATAGCATCTTTTTCCAGTGTACAGACAAGGTCATTTATGCTCTGCACAAAGCCGCATTCAGTCAGTACCTCATGTAACTTTCTGTTCCACTCAGTAGCTCTCTACTTCAATCTATAAAGGTTCTTCACAAAGTTGCAAACTTTGCTTGGTTCCTCTGTGTCGTAGCCTTTAGGTTGCTGCATACACACTGTGTGGTGTAGATCGTCATTCAAGAAAGCTGTCTCAATGTCATAGTGATTCACGTGCATTTTATGTTTAGCTCCTAAAGTTAGCAAGATCCTAAGAGTTGTTGGCTTTGCCACTGGAGTTTTCAATCAAAAATATGAGGAGGATTATGACCAGGTGTTTACCTGGTCATAATCCTCCTCATATTTTTGATTGAAGACTTATGCCACCAGATAAGCTTTGTATCTTGTTGGTTTACCATCTGGATCACGTTTAATTTTATATATCCACTTGCTTCCAACAACATTTGCTTCTGGTGGTGGTTTGGCCAACATCCATGTTCCATTTTTCTTGAGTGCACAAATCTCCGCATCCATTGCCTTTATCCAATCATTTGCATCTTTTCTGTTGATGATTCATCACAGGTTTTCAGTTCAGAAACAATTTTACTTTGCATTGCCTCAATCAATCTATCTGGGGAAACCTTTGTTGTTTCTCCTAGAGCGATGGAGTGGCAAATTGTTCTCAAATTGCTTGTTACAGATGGCTATTTCATTTAGGTTAACTTCCACTTCACTTTTGCTGTCATCTTCACTGTGGTAATGTGGGAGGAATGAATAGTTGGTTGAGCCCATACTGTTGTATGGATCTCCTTCTATAAAGACAATGTCATAACTTATCTTGATTTCTTGGTTACGATACCCAGCAATCGATATGCCTTGCTACCACTTTCATATCCCACAAATCTTGTTTCAGTTGCCTTTACATCCAGTTTCTTTCTTACTCCAAAAGGAACTCTTGTGTAAGCAATACATCCAAAATGACAGAAGTACTCAATATTTGGCTTCTTACCTTGCCATTTCTCATACGGTGTCATTGGGTCCTTTATCAATGATAATTTGTTCTGGATATGATTTGCTGTCATTAATGACTCACCCCAGTAGCATTTTCCTAATTCTACATCATGCAGCATTGTTCTTACCATCTCACAAAGAGAGCGATTTTTCTGTTCTGCCTTGCCATTCTGTTGAAGGCAATCTGGTGCTGTGGTTTGAACTTTAATGCCATGTTCCTTGAAAAATTTACACAGGTCTTTATTCGTGTACTCAGTCCCTCTATCAGATCAATACTTTTTCACCTTTCATTCCATTTGTGTTTCAACATATTAGGATGTTCAGAAAGTAATTTCGTTTTTTTTTACACTACACGGATTAATCGTACTTTTCCCGCCATTTTCATTCTAAACCATATTATCATTATATATTTTGACAGCTAGCATTTTAAGGCTTATTTGTAAAAAATTTTGTTTGATTTTGTGCAATTGTTTATTTTTTGTGTCCCATCAAATATGGAAGATCGAAAACAGCATTTTCGGCATATTTTGCTTTTTTATTACTGAAAAGGTAAGAACACTGTTCAAGTGAGAAAAAAATTGCTTGACGTGTATGGAGAAGATGTATTGACAGAATGGCAGTGCCAAAACTGGTTTACAAAATTTCATTCTGGCAATTTTCAATATTGAACATGCACCACGTTCTGGATGGCCAGTTGAAGCCAATGAAAACAAAATAAA